AAGTTTTCCTAAAATCCTTTGGGGGACCAAAGGCGCCAAAAACCTTCCAAAAAAATTTTGAAAAACTAAGTGGTACAAAATGTTTCAAATAATCCCCTGACATGTTTCTGATAGAAAAAATGCAATTCCATTGGGTGCGGGAAACCTACCCTATCCGCCCTCCTCCTTTGAAAATATAGACAATGCAAAACTTTCCGCAGTGTGTAGACCTCTTGTTGAATACATAAAAAACACACAACGTTTCTAATTCCAGCTGTACTACTTGTCACTCACATACATCCCACCATTTCCACTCATATATTACACATTTTTCTCCTGCTCTTCTTTCTCTCTTTGTTTTTTTCTCTGCTACCTCTCTTTTGTTTTTTTGTAGTACACACATATGCAGCATCACCAAAACAGTGAAAATTTGGGGACTCTTTTTTGTTCTGTACTTTTTCCTCAGCCACAACAAGTTTAGCTTAAACCAACAAGCATATCATAATAGAGCGAGAATGAGAAAGAAGAATTTTTGAATTTATTTTGTTTGACTGTTGGTTTAAACTATATTTATTTAAAGAAAATTATCATTATCGTCAAATATTCGCTGTCGAACGTGTGTCAGCAAGAAAGAACAGTGTGTGATGTAGAGCTCGACGAGATAATAATATATCATAATACAGTGAGACTGAGAAAGAAGAATTTTTTGAATTTATTTTGTTTGGCTGTTTCGTCTGAAAACATTAAAAGACACATTCACGTATAAATTCCCTTTTGGTGTGATTTCGAAACAGTCCTAATTTTCGCTGTTTTTTCCCACTCGAGCTCACGCGCAGTAAGTAAGCTTAAGTTAAACTAGTGCCGGAAAGTAATCAATTTCGTGTGCACCATGACTTCTTTATTGTGACAGAACAGTGGCACAAGCAAATCCTGTTCGTACTGATCGTGCTCGCTATTTCGATGTTAACAAAGAACCCGTTAACGTACTTCTGCCCCCACTACCATCACCTTTTGTTTCACAAACGACTCAAATGCTCTCTATTCGAGAAGCTGTTAAAACTTGTGAACATATAGTCAATGACTTACCGCAAAAAGTAAAGTACTCACTGGAAAAATGTAAACATCCGAAAGAAGGTTTAACTCAAGATGAATCAGCCACACTCTATCTTTACTCGCTTCAATGGCCGTCTGGAGAACATTCTCTGTATACAATGTTCAATCGCGCTCTACGTGGCGAAGATCGATCGAAACTCGTTCCGTTTAATAATTACTACAATCTTTCATGTCTGCTTTGAAGAAACTACCGCCTATTCAAGATCGCGTCTGGCGTGGTGTCAATGGTGACATCAGTAAACAATACCTCAAAGCAACAATTCATGTCTGGTGGGGATCGAGCAGCTGCTCAGATGAAGTCATGGTCACTGATACATTTCTTGATCAGACAACACCTCGAACACTATTCAATATCAAATGCTTTGACGGGAAAAGCATCCAATACCACTCCTATTTTCCTAATGAAAGTGAAATGATATTAGCATCTGGAACTTATATCAAAGTTAAATCACAATCGCATCCAGCGGAAAATTTTTACATCGTTCAATGTGACCAAATCGAACCGGTATCTGAAGAAGAAATTCTTAAATCGTGGGCTACTGCTGGAGTAACTACAGCGGCAGCTTCCGGCACATTACCGACAATGAAAGCAGTTTTATATTTGATTTGGCTGAATCAGAATGTAAACAAATCACAAGATAATCTAAAAATACAAGAAAAATTACGCACTATGTTTGAAGATGATTTTCAAACATTTGAGAAGCTGGATGAATGTGAGACTTCTATCAGACAGAAGACAAATGATTCGATTCTTCTTATTGTTGGAGGACAGATTGGCCGACAAGTTATTCCTAAAATTCATGCTTTAACACAGTTGACCACGGTATTTGTTTACTGCATGAACAAAGAAGAAAATGAAAAATGGTCAAAGAATTATCCGAAGATGTGCTTTGATAAAAATAGCTTATACCAGGTCGTTTCAGTCTTACGTTATTCTAGGTCAAAGCAGTTGTCATGCGAGCAAACGAGCTGAATAAAGAAGTTGGAAAAGAAAAACATCAGACTGTGGCTGCGGTAGAAGGAGAACTGGCACAAGCGACTATGTACGCACTCTCTTCCTCGTTAGAGTTATTCATTCAGTAAAAACTTTTCGGAATATTTTAGATCTGACGAGCAGCTTCCGCTTCTAACAAGGCACTTAAGTGGTTATGAAAAACGACCGCTAGTTTCACTTGAAGAAGCAATTGAACCACTTAATGAGATCGTTCCTGACATTCGACGCAACACTTGGATTACTAAAGTGAGAACAGAGAAAGATGGAACACGGAAAGACGGTCTCACTAGAGATGAATCAGCTGCAATTGCGCTTTATACGATGGAAGGGAAATCAGTCGGATGTAGTCTGGAGACAATTCTCAATCAAAGTCTGCGTAGTGAAGAACGAACTCATATAAAACCCTTCTTTTCATATTTAAAATTGTTTATGACTGCATTACAGAAGCTACCATCGTTTGAAGGCATAGTTTGGCGAGGTATGGAATCGGATCTGAGTCAAGAGTATAAGAAAGGACAACGTGGTGTTTGGTGGCATGTATCCTCAACAACACCAGATGCTGAAGTTTTAAAAAATCTAGCGACAAACAGGAATACGGACATGTTTCTCAATTGAATGTAAAAATGGGAAACAAATCAGAAATCATTCTTCCTATCCAACTGAAGACGAAGTACTGTTGATGCCAGGTTTTTACTTTCAAGTTGTGAGTATATTTCAGCCGTCATCTGATATAACTGTGATATATTTGAAAGAAATAGAGATGCACTAGCAACTTTATTCGTTTCCTCACAGCACCGTCGATGTTTCGTCTATAGATAGTTCAGATTGAATACAGCTTTTTCATAGCTTTTCACTCACCATGTTTATTTTTATAGTATGATTGAATAAGTTATTCACATTGTTTGAAAGCAAATAGTAGGTATTAAGTGACGACGAGTATTATTTATCGCATGAGCAGAGGAAATTTATCTCTCGAAGTAGATATGAGGTGCACAGTTTAACAGGCTGAACCTAAGTTGATTATCTTAACAGACCTGCGGTTTGCACCATTAGATTTAGCTGGTCGAGCTCCACAAAGTCAGGTAGATCTTGTTGTTTGCACTAATGCTTGTGTATACCGTGGTAGTTTTCATATGGATTGAACCTAAAATAAAAATGCAAACAGCATTTGAACTACGTTGCCAGCTTCAGCTTAGAGGAAAAGGTAAAAGAATTCGATTCTTGCAAGATCGACAAGATCTTGCCATTCTTCCAGGTGTCGGAATATTTTCTAAATATCTGATAATTTTATTGTTTCTTTACGTCTACTTCATTTTATTGAAAGTAAAGTATCGCATATTCGGACCAGACAGGACTTTACGTTAATGTCACGCTAACGGCATGTTAAGCGTTTAAAACTGGTGCAAACACCCAACGTTTGGGTGGTTCATTGATATAGCATTTTTATGGCATTAATTTACGGTGTAAAAATGTCCATTCAAGGCTACGCTATCATAGTGGTACAAAAAGCAGATGATACAAGTGTGCCTTGCAAGCCTAATCTTGAAATATTTTTGGGTTTTGTGTGAGTTCAGTGATTTTCTTATGGTTTTAAATTGATAGAGTAGTATCTATAAACAAAAGATAAGCACGTCAACAAACCATCTCAAATTTGTTTTAGCAAAGCAGACATTTATTGAACTTTTCAAAAAGGAAAATTAGCATAAATAAAAGTAATATGTAGAAGCAGAAAAGTAAAGTTAAAATAAATCAGCTTATTTCATTTCAATTTGTAATTATTGTTCGAAGATCCGGTTTTCCAGAAAGTTAGAACAGAAATACAAGAAAAACATGGATGTACAGCAGAAAAGTTGAACAATAGTTTAGATTTTTTTTAATAGGTATAAAACACATATAGATATGAATGTGTACGAAAATGATGCCTACGTAACGATTTTGTTTTTCCGCCTGACCCAGTGCAATACAACTGTATTGGATCATCTATAGAGAAAGATGTATCAGACGGGTCAGCGAAAGCTCTTGTATGTGAAGAAACTTTAACTTGTGAAAATAATATTTCGTTCGCTGGGGTAAAAAGATGCCGTTCTATAACGCCATACGTTTTGTAAACGAAATCGGATGATATTCTTCGAGTAGTTGATCGAGTAAAGGTTTGAATGTAAATATTCGAAAAGTATATCCTCCTACTGGTGATATGGATCTAGGGAAATCGCTAGAGGACCAGCTAGCTTCACAGCGACAAAATGTGCTTAACTGCACCTTCGGCAGCCTTAAACTGAAACCTCATCATACAATTTCTGTCATTTTAAGCACAGTTATTGCGTGTTTGATATTGACAGGGACACTAATTACTTGTCAAAAAAGCGCTCAATCATTCCAATCTTCACCCACTGTTCAGCTAACGATCCTTTCAGTCCCAAACCCACAGCCAAAAGCTTTCGCTGACCCGTCTGATACATCTCTCTCTATAGATGATCCAATACAGTTGTATCGCACTGAATCAGGCGGAAAAAACAAAATCGTTACGTAGGCATCATTTTCGTACACGTACATAGCTATATGTATTTTACACTTTTAAAAAAATCTAAACTACTGTTCAACTTTTCTACTGTACATCCATGTTTTTCTTGTATTTCTGTTCTAACCGCATGTATTTTTGTTTTTCCTTTTTGTACTGAACTTTTCTTACATTACGCTCCTTGTTTCCTGTAATAAATAAGACTCAAGTGTAAATCAATTAAGGGCCCCCCTCAGAAATTATCTCCGACACCGTACATCCGATCTTGACGAAACTTTCCATAAATGTTCGGCACAATGAGTTACGGGAATGAAAAGATTTTTTTGTCTCCAAGTCTTACGGTTTAGGAGTTTTCCAGAGATCAAGGTCCAAAAAGGACCCAGGACCCTGACCCAAAAAGGACGGCGTCCCAAGATTTTTTAATATACTTCAAGCTGGAGAGTTCGGGTTTGTTTTATTATTAAACTAGACACCTAACTACATCGACTGACCGGCGCCGATTTTTCAGTTAAACCTTTATTGCCTTTCCAGGCAACCAACAGCCTCCGAAACCCGAAAAATCCTTCCGGATTTTCTGAAAATCCTCCCGGATTTTCTGAAAATCCTCAGTTTGACAAAAAGCTAAGACCTAATTCAAAAATCGGCGCCGGTCAGTCGATGTAGTTTCTTTTCCTCTTTTAAACAAAAAAAGAATGAACTCTCTACGACAAACCGCTATTAAAAATCTTGGGACGCACTTCAGGGGTAACTCTTATGTAGTGAAAACGCTGTATTAACCGCTGTATGAAATACTCGATTTTAGGACTTCTAGGGAAATGCCTGTAACTTTTTGATGCAAGGTCATACAGTTGTGCGAAATCTTATTTTGATCAGAAACGTTCGCTCTAGAAAGCTGTGTTTTCAGAAAAATTTTAATTGCATAAGTATCCAGGAAAAAACCATTATTTGAAGACCCATTTTTTCGAGGCTCTTAGAAAAATTGATCAAAATCCCCGAAAAACCAATTTTGTAACCAAAAGCAATACATATTCTGGAAGTAGACACTTCAGGCTATCTTTCCATGTGCGTATCTCAAAACCGATTTTTTGATCGAAAATCACCATTTCTGAGGGGGGGNTTTCTTTCTCCGCCGACCCCCACCCCCCCCCCCCCCCACCCCCCCCACGCCCCCCACCACCCCCCCCCCCCCCCGCCCCCCCCGCGCCCCCCCCCCCCCCCCCCCTTAAGAAGTGTACACATTGATACGTCGATATTTGGCTGACTCATATCACAACGGAGAAAAGAATAAAATGTATTTTTCTCATCTAATATGAATTGAATAAACGAGATGAAGATATATTTGGATAGATCTCGTCGAGTTCTACATCACACACTGTTTTTTCTTGCTGACGCACGTTCGACTGCGAATATTTGACGATAATGATAATTTTTACTATAATCTTCAATGTGGGTTAAGCAGTGAAACAATACTATTGTACTTTTCTCTGAAACAATAGATCGTACAAAAGATCTGTACATATATTTGGATTCGTTTGTTAAATATGTTCCCGTAGAAAATATTACTGTTTGCGCAGTAACTGTGTCCCATGGAAGGATCTGTTTATTCCGAGTAGTGCAGTTATATAAAGCTCATCGAGTTCTCTGTGACACACACAATAACTTTTATAACACACGTTTGTGTGAGAATATTTCCTAAAATCATTAGAATATCGAACTAACTTATCCTAAGTGCTTTTTTCAATACCGATTGATTTAGTGAAAAAACCCGGAAAGTTTGGCTCATATATTTCAAAACCGCTCCGAAAATTTTGTCTATTTTATATCGAAATAGATAGAGTACAAAATTGCTGCAGCCAATTTTTGACAATTCATTTTCATCTCGCTCTTGAGCATCAAAGTTCGTACGATACCGAACGTCGTTTTATGTAAGCGCGATTCTTTTTACTCTATTTTTCATTTTTACTGTGACCAGATCGTCTCTTTTAGCATTAGTTATCTAATTTTAGCTGATTTTAATCATAATAAGCGAGAAGGATACCACTAAGGAAATTTTGGAATATATATTTATAGAGATCCTTTTCGTTGGTGAGAATTTGAACCAATGCAAGTGAACAACTGGTGAAGTAAAAGAAAAAGAGAATCAGATAATGGAATATATTGGACATAATTTACTGTCTCTGCTGTGGTTTAGTATTATCTTTTTGCTCGGATTACTTGTTCGACACACTTTAAAAAATAATTACGGTAAAAAGTGGCAAAAAGCAGAAAAATACACAGTGGCAGAGCGACCGTTTGTGTGAGGGGTGTGTACAACCCCCTGCTTTCGGAAATTTCGTTAGAAATTGACTCCGATTTGAGCGAAAAGTGCGGAAAACTTACTCCAGTTTTGTGAAAGAATCGAGTGAGTTTACTCGATTTTGACAACTTTTCTTTGCAACTTTTATGGTTTTTGCGCAGATATTTGATGTTTTCTCCAATTTCTGGCCATCTTTGCTACAAAAATGCGACAAAATCGGGAAAAGCTAGAGCAAGATGGAACACCTCCTTCTCAAAGATGGGCAGGTCCAAATCCTGCCTGAAGTATTAGTTGACAGACTTGGACTTCAGTGGTTTTTATCAAGTTTAATACGTTATAATGTGTTAATCTTCAATGCATGCTCGTACATTAAGAAACGATAACTAATTACCATATATTTTTTACGCAAATTTTAATTTCAATGCAGTAGCACTTGTTTATTTTTCTAATGTGTGCTAAAGCGTTTCGGCTTTATAATGTGGTAATATGCATTACTGAATACAAAAAACGTTTTAATGCTTTGTAATTCCTCAAAAATATAACGCATTACCTTACGCTAATCGAAATAATGTATATTAACGGAAGAGTAGCAAAACTACGAGTGATAACCGTTTAAAAAGTCCGATTTTAACAGATTATCATCGATTACCTTTCATAATTCTATTATAAACCCTCAAAATAGCTATAGTTTAACAGATTATAATGAGTTGAGTAGTTTTAACGTACGAAATGAAAGAATTTTACTGCATTATTATTGATTAATGGCTCACGGCCGTTTACCTTGCATTAATTAGAGTGATG